TAAAATAATTAAGGTCACTTTTCTGCTAAAAAAATCTCCACAAAAATTTTTTTTTAAAACTTTAAATATAATTATTTATATTTTTATTATAATTTTTTTTTTAATAAGATTACAATTATGGAAAAAAGAGAAATCAAACCTCGAATTGAAGAATACAACTTATAAATTAATTTATGATCATTAGATTGTGAAACTCAAATGCATATTTTTATTATAGTTATTTATATTTTATCTCAATTTTTACATTAAAAACTTAAATTTTTTAAGTCAAGATAAGACGACTTTTAATCAACTTCCTAAAATTCTCTTTCTCAAGAGAAATTTCAACAAATCATTCTTCTTTGTCCATACTTGGTTTAAAGTATCTGCACATCAAACAGTTGACGGTACCAAAGGGCAAAGTCAAAAGCTGAGCTGCTCCCTCTGCGCCCGTGTCGGAGGTCCCATCCTTTACAGATGGCGTACCAATTTGTCTATGCCAAAGTACTGCATTCAGAATTGAATTTCCATTCTGATGCAATTCATTTCTTTCCACCGTAGCCTACTCAGAATTTGTCGTTGCTAGTTGATGGACCGTCACATGCTATAATAGAGGGTAATCAATTCATGACCACAATTGCACTGGAGAAAACTTTTTCTGAGGTGACCCCACAGCGTTGTCGTAGGGTTTTTTTTTTCTATGAGTTGTTGGTATTTGTGAATGGTTCCAGTGGGAACGGTAGAATTGACAGATAAATGCGGGGTTCCATAAAAATTGAGGGTAAATAAAGGAAGAGAAGGATTAAGTAAAAACTAACCTGGAATTATACGTGCAAATTTGGCTCATAATATCTGTAGGGCATTTCAAGTTTCAACAAATAGTTGATGGGCACCAAAAATAAAGAGGATATGCACAAGCTGCTGAGCTATTCGAATTTAAAGGCACGTTTGGTTGGGCTTCCCCAGATTCTTTTTCTAAGAAGTGGTTAACCAAATAAGCCCATAAGAGAGGGATGCAAAAGGATCCACCCCAAGGTCCCGCAACTGTGCATTGTCTGACCAATGCTCATGAAGTGCTGATTTAAAGTTGTTTTTTGATGCATCCTTCCACACGTTTTGAGTCTCATCCGGAAATAGAGTTGTTGGTTGATACGCTAAAAATATGCATAAGAATGAGCGACTAATGGCACTAAATAACAAACACCATAGACTCCATTTGATTTTTTGTTGTTGTTTTTTTCATTTTTATTTTTTTTTTAATTTTTGAGGGTTTAAACCAACGGAATTATCCATTTGTACAGGTCAGGTCTATACCCATGGCAAAATCTCTTAAAAAACAAACACCATAGACTCCATTTGATTTTTTGTTGTTGTTTTTTTCATTTTTATTTTTTTTTTAATTTTTGAGGGTTTAAAAGAATTTATCAAAAACATCCCTCATTTCGACAAATAAAAAAAAATGTTTATGAGTTTGACCTAATCTTATAAATTAAAAAGGAGGAATGGACATGGACCATATATGATTACTAGTTTGTTTAAACCAATCGATAACTAAGCAATATGTTTTGATTATTAAATAAATATACATATAACAGTAACAATTAAAACATATTAGCTAGTTGTTTGCCAAAATAGATGAATGATATATAAAAAATACACTAATGTAGCAAATTACACAGCCAAGGCATAAATAGAAATGCATATACCATGACTGTCGTTTACATTGAAGGAAATATGATATGATAGAAATAGCTAGCCAAGGCGGTGCTCCTGCCAGATTCTTTCATGTAGTAGTCCTCAAGGTCTCATTCCCTGTGTGCAAATCAAATCTCTCTAGGAAAATAATATGATTCCTATCTCCCTACTCTTCCTCTCTAAAATTTTTGCCCTTTGGTGTGCATCCAATTCCCTCCACACCAAAAACAAATAACCGGACAACTCCCTTTACAAGCCCTCTCTTCATTTGCATATACCAAATCCCCAAATTTCTACTTATTGATGAGAAGGTTTTCTTTTGAAGTCTGCTTGAATGGAATTGAAGAAAACTAATTCTCAAGGAGCTCAAGGAACCACAGAGAGATCCTTCCCAGCTCATGAGCTAAACATATTAGGCAGTGGTAACAGCAAGGAAGCAACTAACAAAGTTATTCAATCTTGTAGCTAGTGTTGTGAAGAGGAAGTGGAGACCATGATAGAAGAATAAGCATAAAGAACCATGACTGTCAAGCTTATTTCAGTAGTTATATAATAAAAGGTTTGAGTGTAGCAATTCTGCGCAAGAATAAGATTGTATAGTTGGTATACGAATTCAACGTTTCTTTTCCAAATAATCAAATTGCTTAAAGTTTAATGCATATACATAGTACATAATACCTAGTTTAGGTCAATAAACAGTTGTCAACCTAGGAACATTAAACTTTGAAACTTAATCTTTAAACGCAATAAATAACAACAATGAGGATTAAATATGATATGGGAAATAACAGGGTTCAATCTTCAACCTTATTTATTGCTCCATTGTTTTGCAGCATAGCTGTTGAGGGTACTATTGGGATTAGCTTTGCATGCAACAATAGTTCTTGGTCAATTTAGAGAGATATTTTACCAGTGTCTTGACTTAAATATTAAAGGAAGAGAAACCAGAACTCCTCACAGATTTTGAAAGGACAATAGAATGGTTTGGCAACCATAAGCAGAAGACTGTTTGTCCTGCTACAACATTAAGATGAGTTTTTCAGTACAGAAGATATCAAAAGGACTCTAATTAATAAACATTTATATAAAAAATTTCCACTACCAATGATCCCTTGGTTCAGTAGTAAAGCTACGCTATGAAAAATAAAAATATGTTACAATTCTAATATCCACCAAGGCAATAGGTTCAAACACTTCAATATAACAGAAGCAAGTAGAGGTTTCTTTTCCCAATCTTATTCTCATGCTGTTAAGAGCAAATGGTTTAACTGAAAACCAATATACTTGCTTAATTTGATACCTGAAGAATATCAAGGCAAATGTTCCCAAACTGATCAACATTTGGATGGAAGCACATGGTTTCAAACCTCACTTGAGGTGGCTTGAAAGGGAAGTCCAATGGGAATCACAGGGAAAGTTTGTATGAAAAACCCTCATACATAGTTCCCTTTCCACCTTCGGTTGTGCCAATCCATGTCAAAATGCTCTCTACTTCAGAAAATGCTAATACTCCAGATCTCCTCCACTCATCTACATAAGAAGACAATCAAGTATTAAGTGAAACTGTAGTTCTAATGGAACTAATAACAAAGGCTTTTCCTACAAGGGAGTTAATGTACTGTGTACAGTTGCTAAGTCATATTAAGCACCTAAATGCTTTAACAAACATGGTCCCAACTCCTAATAATTAATTTCAATAATTTTTTGAAGGATGGCATAAACATATTTGGAACTAGGAAGCACTCCTCTTACATTATGAGTTATAACCATGAGCCACCCCTTGACTTGAACCCAAGTAAGTCATATTCCATCAACAAATAAATACTCACTCTTGAACTACCAATCACACTACTTAGAAATGAGAGAATGAATTCTAGTCAATAACACAAAAACTTCCCCATCTTAAATAAAAAATCCACATGCCTGCTGCTGAATTAGGGTACAAATGCACCACCATTTAGTGACATGCAGCTCAGTAAAATTTACGTAAGTAAAGAAATATGTTCAGCTGATTGCATGAATGGTTGATATGCAAAACTCAGTAAAAGAAAACGAAACATTTTTTAACAGGAGAAATTTAACATGCAGATGCACATTAACACATTCTGAGTAAGTTTGATAATCAGTTGAGTTGATCTGAAGACATAATTAAGCACCATTAAAAAAATGATTTCTCAAGAAATTGCAGATGTAGTAAAAAAACGAAAATTTCACCTCTTTTCCATTTATCATAGCATAATCTTGGCATAGCATCTCCCTCCAAGCTTTCCCTCCTCCCCCACTCCCTTGTTGCTGTGTGGAATTTGCCCTAATCCAAGAATTAAAAACAGTTCTAGAAGTCCATGATCCATGACAATTACAGGACTGCAGGCAAGAAGGGATTTAAATATTCATACAACCAATTAATTGATTAGCGAATACCACTGGATATGTGTTTCTAACTATGAGAAGATTTGTCATGATTCCTGATAAGGGGTATTGTTTCAGTGTCATGAAATTTAGTTATAGTGATTTGTTATTGCCTAAGAACTCACACATATTGCTCAACTGTTTGATGGAAAATAATATAAAGTAACCACCTGAGAAAATATATATAAAAATTATAACAACCAAAACAACCAAAGTTTTTTGGAAAATAAAAAGGAATAAATGTCCCTTTAGTCAGAAGTTAATAGTAATGAAGATCCACAAACAAAGAGCTCAAACCAAAAATATGCATCACCGCAAGCAATCATCATAATTACTATAACTATGCAGTGCAAATATTTTTACCTTAATTGGTAAAACAAATGCAAGAAATAAAAAAATAAAAAAATAAATAAAAAGAATCTAGGAAATTTTCTAAATTATCATGGTTTGTGACAATGGAGCTCATTTAGCTCTAGATGCATACATGAACTGCAGATCCAATTTAATTAAAAAATAGGCCTCAGATATATCAGAATCAATTAGTTGATATACTATTATAGTTACATAGGCTTATTTAGCTGAAGCTCACACTCTTTGCTTGATAAGACAATAAACCCACTTCTAAACTCTTGTTACTTCAGTAGCCTTAGTCCAACACCTTAATTTCTTTTTCTAGTTCTTCTACCTTAAAAGCAACAGATACAACCAAAGCAACAAGATGAGAGAAGAAAAATGTAGGGCAAGCCAAAGTAAGATTCCAAATAATTGACAAGAGGCATATCATTCAAAATACCTTCTAAACTCATAATTTTCCTCCTCTCCAGCACCATGGATCATTATCAAACATCAAAGAATTCCTTTAAAAATGCAAAAAATTTAGCTGGTAACAACCACTTGGACCAAAAAATCCACTTGACATAGATCAGTGAGCAAAAGCAAAATGAAGGCAAGCTAATAAGTTCTCATAACTCTGCATTCTACATCTATATGAATGATCAATTTAGACTTGCAAATTTATAAATGTATATCAAATTGAATTGTCAATTTGTCATATAATTTGTATGAAAACACCAACGAAAAGCTAATGAAAAAATGAAAAAAATCAAAATACCACAACATCAATGCCAGATATTTCACCCCAAACTCAACGGAATCATCAATCTCAAGAAGTTAATGAAGGCCAAAAACAAAAAAAGAACTTTAACATTACAAAAACTACTAAAACATTGTCACTCCTTTGCACCAATTCTAAATAGATCAAAAAAGAAATCAATTGGATTAAGAAAAATGAAGAAACCCTAAAAAGAAGAATGCAAAACTCACATGTGAGAGTTGACTGAAGTTCTAGCAAGTTTAGTTGCCGGATTTCCTCTCTCTATTGTCTCCTCCTTTCTGCCTTCTCGTTGATTATGAACACTAGCTAACCCAATTGATTCCCTTGCTCACTCATCCTGTTTCCCCTGCTGTCCATTTTGAAAGCCATAAGCCACCAGATGGATTCTAGTGGCAAAATGAAGCCATGCCAAGGATGATTATTCAATGACTGATTAAGAAATATGCAGTACAGTAATAAGAGAAAGAGGTATAGGTGTGACATACTGGTAGTTACAAAGGAGAATGCATTTGACCATATCCTCAAGCAAAGTTGGGGATCTGAACACTTTCCCACTGAACCTCCTCAAGCATTCTACTTCTTCTACTTTAATTGCTTCAACAATCTTTTGAAACTCATTCACCTTCTTCTCCTCACTACCTGACAAACACAGCATCCTTTTCACTTAACCCTGCTAGAAGATAATCCTACTTAAATCAATGCAATCAAACTAATGCAAAGAGAATGGAGCAGAAAAGACTCCTTCATGACTTGGATGGAAGGTTCAATCATTAAGGAATTGGTAATAGTGATACCACCTCTCTGCAATGAACCTCAAAACATGAAGACTACTTGTACAATTCCAAATGAACCTCACCTCGTGGATTGGAAGGAGGGTTCAATAATTAAAAAATCCACACCCTTAGCTTCTACTTTAGTCCTGCATCGTGTTTTTCGTCCAACTTCAACAACCTCAAAACTGGAAGACTGCTGGTGCAATTCCAACTGAAGGTCACAAAGTGCCTTAGCAACACTCAAAGTGGACCCTCCCCTTTCCCTTGTTTCTAAAAGGATTATTCAGTTGCAAACTAAAATGAAGAATCCATAATTGCATACAAACTACTTTAGAAGTAAGAACACAGTTCAAAAAAAGGTCATGACAGAAAAAGTAAAGAAAGTTGAACAAAGGCAGTCAGGAAATCTGTACAACACCTGTTTAGAGAAACCTCAAATCTGACAATTTAAGCAGAGTCAGTGTCATGATCTCTGTGAAACATGATTCTGAAGCTCAAGTGATTGTTGATAAAGTACTTTTTCTCCTTGCTCTGTAAACACAAATAAATGGTTAAGAAGACAACAGCATTAAACTTCTATATGGACACAGATCTTTAAAAAGCATTATTTAAAAAAATAATAATAATAAAAAGGGAACCCAAAGAACTGATTGTACTAAATATGAAAATGAATGGAGATTGTCTTTCAATTGCTTTTATCAAGCATGACTTAAAATTTCTACATTTTCACAGCCTGTACTTTGTTAGAATAGTTATACAGAATTATTCCTTCCAAACTTTGACTTTTTTCTTCTTTTGCTATCACTGAACAATAGATATTGTCATTAAGCAAGACAACAAATTCTAGAACAGAAAAAGAAAAAAAAAAAAAGGAGTATGTTTATGAGTCCCCTGCATAAACCTTACCATTATACTGCCTTTGCCACAATGCATTGCATTCATAATTAATATGGAAAAAGAAAGAGTTGATAGGATACAACAGGCCAAAAAAATAAAAAAAAAAAGAAGGAAACCAATCAGCCACAAATGCTATATTCCAGTGAAGGTTTTGAAAGTTGGAATTATGACTAAAACCAAAAAGTATAGTAAAATAATCACAACTGTTAGTCAGACTAGAATTTTATTATATGTTGAATCCAAGACCATGTTCACTCGCACTTGTGACTTTAGCATAAAAATAAATTCACTACAAACCTCTTGATTGCAACCATATTCATTTGCATCCATGATCTCTCTAGGGTAGACTTGTCTCTATAAGGAAAAAAAAAAAAAAAAAAAAAAA